ATATATATATTTAAACTTTTCTATCTATGTTATTCCGTGGAATAAAATTGTAATGAAAACAGTTTATTTTTCTATACTTTTTTTTTGGTAACAACACATATTTTCTAATAGAGAGATATTATACAATAAATTATCTTACTTAAAAACTATTTCTTTAAGAAGGTATATTTAACAAAATGAAAAAAAAATACTTTTTTTTGGTAACAACACATATTTTATAATAGAGAGATATTATACAATAAAGTATCTTACTTAAAAACTATTTCTTTAAAAAGGTATATTTAACAAAATGGATTTATGTATTAATATGTCTTCTTTGAATCCTTCTAAATATTAGTTTAACTATTTAGAGATAGAATTAATTCAATAATAATCATTATAAAATGTGAATTTATTATCATTGTCATTCCAATTTCATTTGATTAGGCTATCTATTTTTCATCCTTATTCCTTTTTGGACTAAATCTCCAATATACATTTGATATTGGGGTTTGCCATTCTTCTTTGGTCTGGATCTCCAATATACCCTTGTGTTGGGGTTTGTTATTCTTCTTTGGTCTGGATCTCCAATATACCCTTGTGTTGGGGTTTGTTATTCCTTTTTGGTCTGGATCTCCAATATACCCTTGATATTGGGGTTTGTTATTCCTTTTTGGACTGGATCTCCAATATACCCTTGATATTGGGGTTTGTTATTCCTTTTTGGACTGGATCTCCAATATACCCTTGATATTGGGGTTTGTTATTCCTTTTTGGACTGGATCTCCAATATACCCTTGATATTGGGGTTTGTTATTCCTTTTTGGACTGGATCTCCAATATACCCTTGATATTGGGGTTTGTCATTCTTCTTTGGTCTGGATCTCCAATATACCCTTGATATTGGCGTTTGTTATTCCTTTTTGGACAGGATCTCCAATATACCCTTGATATTGGGGTTTGTTATTCCTTTTTGGTCTAGATCTCCAATATACCCTTGATATTGGGGTTTGCTATTCTTCTTTGGCCTGGATCTCCAATATACATTTGATATTGGGGTTTGTTATTCATTTTTGGACCGGATCTCCAATATACCCTTGATATTGGGGTTTGTTATTCCTTTTTGGTCTGGATCTCCAATATACCATTGATATTGGGGTTTGTTATTCCTTTTTGGTCTGGATCTCCAATATACATTTGACATTGGGGTTTTTTATTACTTTTTGGACTGGATCTCCAATATGCCCTTGATATTGGGGTTTGCTATTCTTCTTTGGTCTGGATCTCCAATATACCCTTGTATTGGGGTTGTCATTCCTTTTTGGTCTAGATCCCCAATATACCCTCGTATTGGGGTTTGTTTCTCCTTTTTGGTCTAAGTCTCCAATATACCCTTGATATTGGGGTTTGTTATTCCTTTTTGGTCTGGATCTCCAAAATACCCTCGATATTGGGGTTTGTTACTTCTTTTTGGTCTGGATCCCCAATATTCCCTTGATATTGGGGTTTGTTTTTCCTTTTTGGGGTCTGGATCTCCAATATACCCTTGATATTGGGATTTGTTATTCTTCTTTGGTGTATATCTCCAATATACTCTTAATATTGTTTTTTTTTTTTTCAAATTCCATTTTGATATGCTAAATTTTATTTCAGAATATATTTCTGAATTTATTATTTTTTCAACTCCAATTATCTTTCATCTGCCCTCTCGCTCACTTTCTTGCTCGGTCTTCTATCCATTCGGCGATAGTAATGATGGTGAATTCACATTTTTAAAGACAGGATTTTAAATAGAATTTGTTAAAAATAATATTTGTTCAGTACTGAATCTTTTAAATGATTCAGAGTCTCAACAACCAATGTAGGGTATACCTCGAGATAAGGTAGGGCTGGCACTTGGCATGTTGTTGTTTCAATGGCTGGCTGAAGGGTTGGCTACTGACTGGGCTACTGGATCGCGGGGCTCGGGTTAGGTCATAGGCTGGGTCATTGGGTCTATGTGGTTCAGGGGATGGCCGCAGACTGGTCCACTGGATGGGGCTATGGGGCTGACTCCGACCCTATCCTATAGAATAAAATACAATTTCTAAAACTATAAATAGAATTGAACCACTATTCGTTGACTACACAAATTTACAACAGAGTCAATGGACGAGTGGGTAACACCCTCGATTCCCGACAGTCATGAACAGGGATTGAATCCGGCGTTAACATTTTGTTTAATATGTGAATTCACATATTATTCATTGTTGCAAATATCATAAACTAGATTGCTCTTTTTGAGCGGTACCTAATAAAGTGATTTTGGAACCGAACGCATTTACAGGGAATGTATCTTGTTTAAAGTTTGTTAATATTACATTTTTTGCTAAAAATATATTTATGTTGTTTCTAAACACCTTTACTAACCAATTGTAAAATATAATTCCTCAAGATAATGAAAAATAACTTGATGAAAAGAATAACCTAGATATGAGTCCTATTACTGTTAAAGATTTTTTTTCTGCAAAATTAGATAGCATTATTGTTACAGATGTACAACTGTTAACCTACTAAAATAACATTTCATAAGTTTAAATCCAGTGAGAGAGAATGGAAAGGGTATTTTCATTTAAAAATCAAATTATCAATAATATCATCTACTAAGATGTTATTTATTTATTGTATTTATATCAAGGTCATATCTGATATAAAATGTAAAGTTGGGGAATTAATAAGTAAATTATACAAATACCATCTGCAATGAGGTGGTTTCAATTTGTTCTTTATAGTTGAACTATACCAAAATCATCTTCTATCAGAGTTGTTTGCCAAATTGGAATTTAAATTTCTATAATTTCAAAATCATCTGCTTTGAGATGGTTGCCCAATAAGAATTTATAGTTGAATTATACCCAGATCATCTGAATTGAGGTGGTCACCATGTTAAAATTTATATTTGAATTATATCAAAATCATCTGTTAGAGGTGGTTGCCTAATGTTAATTAATAGTTAATTTATACTAAGATCATCTGCTATTAGAGATGGTCGCCATGTTGGAATTTATATTAGAATTCTACCGAGATTATCTACTATGAGGTTGTCACTTTAATGATAGTTTATATTTGAAATTCTCCAAGACCATCTGAAGTTCCTATGTTCAATACAGCGTGCGATCTACAATAAGATAATTTCTTAACTAAAATTGCTCTTTAGTATCAACTGAGATTTACTATTAATCACCTTTTGTAAATATATTAAAATATTATGTATGATTATCAAAAGAATGGATGTATAAGGGATTGTTTGAATAACTTTAAATTAACAAAACAGCTCAGTTTTGAAATATCTTTATTATATCAAACCAAAGCGATTTATTTAAGTTAATAGGATTAGAGAAGCTGTGCCTAAATGTATTCTTATTTTATTACTGAAACGAGTTCCATCTTTGTAATGCTTAACTAGCAATTTCATTAATTTCGTTTACTTCTATATTTTATTATAAAATAAATGAAGCTTCCAAGGTTAAGTTTCTTCTATATTTGTTGAATATTAGTTTTCCTCAACTAAAAATCTTAAACGTATATCATTAATATTTTTATATTGATTTTATGAAGTATTTAATTTTCTAAAATAATATATTGATACTATTCTGAGTATCAAGTAATATTTATTTAAAAGATATCGAGAAATATGCCCCTTTGAACTAATTTATTTCTATTGTTTACAAAACAACTCTGTTTATATTTATATTTATATATATATGTTTCAATTTTTTAAACCTCTCTTCAAATTATTTTCTTTCATCAATACTTTCAACTGATCCTTTTATTGTGTGTTTTATAGAGGTTTGTCTTCTCCGAATTATCTGCTGCTTTATCTCAATCCTATAAAATAAAAAGTTTTCAAAACTCATCCATGCTGTTCAACTGTTTATTTTATATTTCATTCTTCACATGGAGAAATAAAGAAAAATATAAAACCCCATCGTACTATAACACACACATTGGGAGTAGGTAGACGAATCGTTGGTTTTCGACCGCTACGACCCGGGATCGAATCCGCATGGGCACTCTTTTTTAATTAAAAAAAATGCTCCAATGCCACCGATTCTTGCAAAATTCCACCTCTACTAGCGAGTGTACCTGCTTCTGAAGCTAACAAGCAAGGCATGACACGTGATGATGACCAAAACTACTGATTTAGTCACACAATACACATTGTACCAATTTAAAATTTCAAATATTTTACGATGGGAGAAGTAGCCATTTCAAGTTTATGTCATTATATTCCCAACAAAAATCTGTTCTTATTTTGGAGATAGAATTCGCTCAGAAACCTTTTACAGAATGAATATCTCTTTTTTAAATTTTGAACTGACGAGAAGCTGAGCTCATGGGCTCCAGAAAGAGCGTTTTGAAATTGAGAAAGCTGTTGTTGATTGTCACCAACCGAATATGCTAGGAATGGTCAATAGATAACATATGGCTTCTATGCCAATTTTGATAGGTGAGATAGCCATTTCCTTTTAGTTAAAATATGTTCCTTGCAAAGTTCTCATCAATATTTTTAAATTGTTATTGTTTCCCAATTATATTTTGATTTGTTGTAAATTATTCGAAATATAATTGGCCAAGATAAATATTTGAAAATATATTATTGTCACGACCATTTGTTATATCTGCATGATTTAGATTGGTTTTATTATATACCCTGCATTTACTAAGGAAGGCAGCTTTGGGTGGAATAAGGAACCTATGGACATAAGCTCAGAGGTATGTAAAGAGAGAGGCGCAAACATATAAAAACTTCACTATTTTATAAATATATAAAATTTTGTACATATAGATTTATCAGCCTGTGGACTTTATGAGGCACAATGCACAAATCTCAAAACAGATCCAACACTCACACGGACACATCAGTCACACAACAAACAACACACATTCAAAACATGCAACTTATGCCACACATAATACATACTCCACACGCAATCACACGCACAACACAAAACATAGATGATATACATAACGCACACAACAAATACATAACTCACAACCATTCAAACATGCACACACGCAAACACGCAAACTACACATACAAAACGCACAACCACACAAACCACACACACGACCACGCATACCCAAACCCAACACACATACCAAAGACACCATGCACACCACACCTTAAACATTTGAAAACACGTATATACAAACGCAACACACACCCTAAAACACATTATGTATACTCCACATGCAACACACAATCACGCACACCATGCACACCTCGCTTACAACACTTACAACCACGCACACTCAAAATCAATACATATACCACACACACAATGTACACCACACCTACGACATTTACATACGCACACACCAATGTAACACACAAACGCAACACGAATACATTGATGCAATGCACACCTCACCTACACCACTTACAACCACGCACACATAAACGCAACACGTAATCATCAATGCAATGCACACCTCACCTATACCACTTACAACCATGAACACATAAACGCAACACGCAATCATTCATGCAATGCACACCTCACCTACAAAACCTACGACCACGCACACACAAACGCAACACACAATCACTAACGCCATACAGACCACACCTACAATACTTACAATCAAGTACGAGTACACACAAAGGCAACACGCAATCACACAAACAATACACATCACACTTACAACAACGCACAAACAAACGCAACACGCAACCACCCACGCTATACATATCACACCTACAACACTTAAACCACCCTCATATAAAGGCAACACACACACCATGCACACCACACCTACAATATCTACAACCACACACACATAAACGCAACACGCTTAGGTAAAAGCCTCCTCAACCATACACAAACAAGTTTATAACACGGCTTCACCAGTAGATAACTCCTCAGTCATAAACAAACAAGTTTATAACTATTTCACCGATAGATACCTCCTAAACCATACACAAACAAGTTTAAACCAGTACTTCACAGGTAGATACCTCCTAACCAAACACAAACAAGTTTATAAAAGGACTTCCCCGATAGATACCTCCTAAACCATACACAAAAAAGTTTAAACCACTACCTCACAGGTAGATACCACCTAACCAAACACAAACAAGTTTATAACAGGACTTCCCCGATAGATACCTCCTAAACCATACACAAACAAGTTTAAACCAGTACTTCACAGGTAGATACCTCCTAACCAAACACAAACAAGTTTATAAAAGGACTTCCCCGATAGATACCTCCTAAACCATACACAAAAAAGTTTAAACCACTACCTCACAGGTAGATACCACCTAACCAAACACAAACAAGTTTATAACAGGACTTCCCCGATAGATACCTCCTAAACCATACACAAACAAGTTTAAACCACTACTTCACAGGTAGATACCTCCTAACCATACACAAACAAGTTTATAACGGGACTTCAGTGGTAGATGCCTTCTCAGCCATAACCAGTTTATAACACGTCTCCACCGAAAGAAGCCTTCTCAACTATACACAGACAAGTTTATTTAATGTCTCTTTTCAGGCACATGCCTCTTCAGCCATACACAAACAAGTTTATAACACGACTTCACCGATAGATGCCTACTCAACCATACACAAACAAGTTTATAACACCTCTTTAAACTTAGATACCTCCTCAGTCATACAGAAACAAGTTTATCAAGTATCTGTGATGGTTATTGAATTTTTGTCTGCGCCAAATGCAGTTAATATAAATAAAATAAAATATGAATTTTATATGTTTAATGTTTATAATAATGTTAAATGTTTCTAACACGAGAAATGATGCAATCTCGGAAAGAAATTTGTTTAGACCTCATCGAATCAAAACAAGACCAGTTTCTGAAGCCTTTGAAGGTGTCATAACGTGTGATGAGATTTGGGTTTATCATTATGACATTTCTTCAAAGCGCAAATCAATGTAATGGACCCATAAAATGTCTTCATCGAGAAAAAAACCAAGGCTTTCTCTTTCCAAAGACAACATCATGATAACGATCTTTAGGGACCAAGATGGGCTCATATTCATGGACATGCATTCCAAGAATACTTCCATCAACAAGGAAAGATATTGTAAATCATTAGAAAAGCTAAAAAGAACAATTTCAACAAAAAGGCTGGGCCTAAAAGACTGTCAAATCAAATTTCATCAAGACAATGCAAGAACTCACACCGCGCGACAGATATTGGCTCATATTCCAGATATGGGTGGACTTTGATGCCTCACCCAGCTTACAGTCCTGACCTGGCTCCTTCCGACTTCTACCTGTTTGGTAAATTAAAGAAATTTTACGCGGCAGAACATTTGAAATGATGAAATCTTACTCCATGAGGTTAGAGGGGGGTTCAGAAAGCAAGATGTAGTATTTTACCAAAGTGCTTTTGTGAGTTGGAAAGAACGCTGGACCAAATGTGTACAGAGGGAAGGTAGATATATTGAATGATATATAGCTAATAGTTAGGTATTTATATATACAAAGTTTCATATTTATGGTTTGTTAAATAAATATATTATTGATGATTGTGCATTACTTATTGACCCATACTGGTATTTGGTCCCAAAGGCTTCCTGAGAAACAAGAAATGGGAATATGTATATAACACAATCATGGAAAAAAATAATGAAGTTGTACCTTTTAGCCTGTATTTCGGATTTCAGACAATAACTCTGAAAGTTATTTGATGCAAAGTGACCTATCTTGAACACACACGAGATAACGAAGTATGAACAAAAGAATTGCTTGTCTACAAAAAAAAAATTAGACGACTGGCGACATCAAATACGTTACACTTCCTCAAATTTTCCCTATGAGTGTACAAAAGATTTGTTCTGATTTTTCACAAATGCTGTAAAACTACCGAAAACTTTTTAAAATGTCATGCACCTATAAACCACAAATATATATTTACATAACCATAGTTGCAGCAATTCTAGATGTTGGCTCCACTTTGATGCAGCAAACGGTAATTAGTTGATCTGCATGAAATTCCAAGGAAAGAGATTTGAACCTCTGAAACAAAGTTTAGAAAAGACATTTTTGGAAAAAAATATATATTGTAAAAAGAATCCTGTGAAGTTTCAAGTGATAGAATAAAAAACGTCGGTGTTCGAGTGGGTAACACCCTCGATTCCCGACAGCCATGAACCGGGATCGAATCCCGCTTTAACATTTTGTTTAATATGTGAATAACCTTCACATATTATTCATTGTTACAAATATCATAAACTAGGTTGGTCTTGTTGAGCGATACCTAATAAAGTGACTTTGGAACAAGTGATAGAATAAACAAAGACTCGACAGCAGGAACAATTTATTGTTAGACCTATATACACCGATGTGACAGAGACGGGGTGAGCAGACAGCGGACTGCGGAATACGGCAGGGTGGATAGTGGTTGTTGACTTGACAACCAGCTAATCACACTGCCACACTCCACAGCCCAACAACGCTTCTTCTAACTGCTTCTTCTTGCAACACTGATGAAGGTTTCTCTTGCAACAAGTGAGAAAAACTCAGTTAATATATTACAACAAAGGAATAATTCTTACAACAGAATTAAAATGTCCTAAAGATAGAGGTTGCCTGACCAGAATTCATATTTCTGTGAAAAATAGACACTTCGGCCAGTTAGAGTTTTTTTTTCTCAACGTTTCAACAAAAATATTTTGTCTTCGTTAGGAGAAATAAATAAAAAATAAAGCATTTGGCAACGCGTTAAAAATTGTTCTGAGGTTGAAAGGGCTTTCTCACGCGATATTTCGAATTTAGTACAAATGATTAAAATGATTCTTACAAAAAAAGGTTAATATTTTATACAGTAAAGATTTTCCATCTTACAAATAATGGTTAAGATATCTATAAAAACTGAACTTGTTGTTATAATTCCAGTGAAGAATTTCCTGCAATGGATATGGCAAAGTTGATTGAACAATCCGAAATTTAAATAAGAAATCTTTGATGAAATTCCATAAAAGCGTATTGATTAGTAAATTTCAAGATTTATTTACAAATTATGGTTATTTTAATGCTAGTGAAGAATTTCCTTCAATAGATATGGCAAAGTTGATTAAACAATCCAAAATTTGAATAAGAAAACCTTTGATGAAATTCTACAAAAGCATATGGATTAGTAAATTTCAAGAGTTTCATCACATATTATGGTTAACATTCCAACAATGACATAGTAATTCAAACAATCAAGAGCTAGGTTAACAATGAACAATTGAATATCGAATTTCATTGTTATAATAGGTTTAAAATTGAATAGTTTGCAGAAACATTTAGGAATATTTATTCTACAAAATTCCAAAGAGTTATATCAATTGCGTTCTTTGATTTTATATTCTATATAATATCATGAATTTCTAATCAATCTCTAACACATATTTGATTGTTGAGATTATAACAAAAATCTTAATTTGACTGAGTTATTTACCATGTTTTAAATTCAATATTAATGGCAGATTTTCTCATTTTCTTAAACGAACAATATAAATTTATATGCGAAACTATTTTAAAGGCGTAAGATTCTTTTTGAAATTAAACAATTTCTACTGCCCTTACTGCAATGGAAAAATTAATGCCCATTGCAGTAAGGGCAGTAGAAATTGTTTAATTTCAAAAAGAATCTTAAGCCTTTAAAATAGTTTCGAATTTTGATAACAGATGGCGCGCTAGTGCATAATATAAATTTAGTATAATATGATCTAGAAGTCGAGGATTAAGAAATATTAATTCAAAATTCTCACGAAATCGTACAGATATATCTCGACCATATAGCGAATTGAATTTGTCTTTAAATCTCAATCTTTCTGACAGTTCAGAAAAACGTTGTGAAGGCAAATTTTATTTTTACTCAGTAAATTAGCAAAATATAACGATGATTAAAGAGGAATGTCTTATACGAACTTTATTCGCCGCAAGTTTTCGGACGTCCTTCTACAGGTGGTCATCGTAATGTCTGTAGAAGGACGTCCGAAAGCTTGCTAATATAGTTCGTATAAGACAATCCTCTTCAATCTTCGTTAGATTTTGCTATTTTTATTCGAAGAGATCAATTAAGTCGACTCAGTAAATTAGTTTGGTGAATCTCCTTAAAATATCATCAGAATATGAACAGAGAATTTATCCCGACTTGTTAACCATATTATACTATAAACCTTTAAAAATAATTAACAATATTTATTATTAAAAAGGCAGTAAACATATATAATAGTACAGTAGAACCTTCATGAGAGGACACTCACGCTAGAGGATACCTCTCTACAAAGGACAGTTTTTAGTTTCAAATTTACAATTTTTACCATTCAGTAACTCTCCGGTAAGAAGGCACTTCTCTCTAAAGGATACTTTGACTCTGCAATTAGGTGTTGTCCTTTACATGGAGTTTCTACTGTATATATGCAATATATTAAGTCATATACAGTTATATATATTCAATAGTAATACATACACACAATAAACAATCAGCTATTCCAAAAAGCCACATGAAAGATGGGACTAATGAAATTTAAAGTCAAATTCATCTAAATCATAGAAAGAATATATACAGTTTTATGTTTAAATTTGTAGGCAATGTGTTTCTTTTCAATAATATCATCAAAAACTATCTCTATAGACCTTATTGTAATGAAATAAGTTATTGAATGAGAGGGCTTATTTCATTACAGTAAGGTCTGTAGAGATAATATTTGATGATATTATTGAAAAGAAACATATTGCCAGTAAATTTATTTGTACCAAACCCTCTCATTCAATAACCCATCATTGCAGTAAGGTCTGTAGCGATAATATTTGATGATATTATTGGAAAGAAACACATTACCAGTAAATTTATTTGTTCAATTTATAAATTTAAAGTTTTATGTGTAAATGAATTAGAAAACGTATAAAAAAAAACAATTTACATTTTAATCGCAGAATATTAATTACTCAAGTATATATAAATTTAGCGTCCAATACTTAAACTTGACTTATTAAAGTCAAACACTACGGCTGAAAAACTAAATTCTGAAGCACGTAGGCTAGGGTAGTATTAAATTTAATACAAAGCAATAACATGCCATCTATATATGAAGAAAAAAATACATTAAGATGCGAATTTTTCTTTTCACAAATAAATCAAACTTCATATTTTCATCGTAGTACTGGACAGTAGAAGTTTGATTTGTGAAAAGAAACATTCGCGTCTTAATGTCTTCTTTCTTTATTTTATTTAATGCTATAAGTATTTATCTTTCCAAATCATGGTTCAGCAGAAATATACCGCAGTGTTTAGTCTGTATTATTTACATATTTACTAGGCTATAGTGCAATAAAGAAGTCTGTAATAAAGTAAAATAGCTATTTATATTTTCAAAAAGTCAAATAAATTTACCGTTTGGAGGATTCAGTGATATTTGAGAGACTATATCTTCTTAACAAATTTGATCGAAAGGAATATGATAACAATTTGAATTAAGACTTCCAAAAGATATTTTTACTTCAGTTCAATATATTAATATGTAAATATATAAAATATTGTTATTTTATTGAGATAGTATAAAAAACATTTTTTTTTTCTAAAATAAAAAATATATATTATAGTATTTATATATTTTTAAAAAGGATATTTTAACATAATTTCTTTAGTATGTGAAAATTTAGGTTACAAATCTTGAAAATAACAATCAAAAATAGATTTAGTTAAAAATATAGAGAGCATACGATGGTATTGAAGATCTCTAAATAATTTTAATGTTGAAAACACCCACTGACCTTCAGATAATTTACATAATCTAGAAAAAAAATAGAAGATATTGAACAATGCAGTCAACGAACTTGATAAATTCGAACTTATCATTTTTTATATAAACAATTGCTGTAACGATGTTATAAATTTCGTTTATAATTTTACTTTAAAGAAGTTAGAACATATTTTATTTGAATATATACATATTTCAAGAATTTTTTATTATATCAAGGATCGATCTGAAAATCTTGAATATAGCCACTACATATCCTTTTATACTTTATAAAATATTTTTCGGGATACGATTTTATTATTGTCAGGCGGTAATGAACTTGCCTATGAAAGAAGATTGCTGTTATAAAGGACTTTGATAATTATGAAGAGTATTATTCTCAAGAAAAAATCAGCCTGGCGATATCTGACAAACTGGATGTCCACCATTAGACGTGAAGTCTAAAGACCAACCCTGATAGTTGGCGAATTTAGTACGTGGCTTCAGAAATCCGGGTTACCACAAGAGAAAGAGAGATAGATGAAGAGTATGAAAGGTAGTACTGGAAAACACGGATCTGTACAGGAATTTGTAAGTTTATTTGTAATTGAAACAATGGCTGTGATATCGGAGAGAATTGTACATTCCACTGTCTTTAGGTTTGTATAACATCGTAGATGATTAAGAAGAGAAGCATATACAACTCTACAGGCCTCATAGGTGATGGGTAATAAAATATAGGCTATAGACACAATAGGAGATGCAATATTTAACCAATAATTAGGATAGACTGTCAATATGTGAATGCTATAGAGTAAATAATCCAACAATATAGCAAATATGTGTGCGACTAATTCCTGGAGGAAATAAACGACCTGTGTATTTAATATGAGACCATGTGAAAGAAAATAACTTTTGGAATTGAGGTTCCAAGAAACCAAAATTTTGACAAAAAGAACACCGCTTTTGGACACCATTCAGAAGAACGTGGAACAAATCCGACAATAGGAAGAAAGAAGGTAAACTAAAGGTATTTAACATTCTTAAAATTTCATCCGTCGGTATTTGAAAATATTTGGAACAATAATTCAGATTGAGGCCAACAGGCCTGCGAGTAACGTATTCTAAACAAAGGTCTTGTTGAAGTCTACCAATCTGCGTTAGGACGTGGAGGTGTTCGACCTGAGCAGTCGAAGCAAAAGATTACAACATCTAAAGGAACTAAATTATTTAAAATTTATTGAAATAAAAATGTCCCGCCCCCACCTAGACGGAACACGGTCTTCCATACACCAAGAAGTTGGGGTTTAAATGGAGAAAGAGCGTACAATAAAGTCCTGTTTAAAAGAGGAAAATAAAATCAGAATTATAACGAGCCTCAAAATATCATTTACAAAGGAGTTTGTATCCATACAGTATATTGGGAATAAGAGAAGGGAGGTTTTGAAGACTATAAATAAAAGAGAGATAAAATGTAAAATCCCTAAGCATTTCGATTAATCACTATAGACAAAACCAAGTGAAGCTACACTTCCTTAAAACACGAAGAAAAAAAAGCAGAGAGCTTGAGCGCCCAGCCGAAAATACCTGTAGAACTATGGTAAAAAGGCGATGAAGGATGTAGAACTATGGTAAAAAAGCGATGAAGGCTATTGAGCTATGGTAAAAAGGCGATGAAGGATGTAGTACTATGGTAAGAAGGCGATGAAGACTGTAGAATTATGGTAAGAAAGCGATGAAGGCTTAGAACAATGATAAAAATGCGATGAAGGCTGTAGAACTATGGTAAAAAGGCGATGAAGGATGTAGAACTATGGTAAGAAGGCTATGAAGGTTGTAGAACTATGGTAAGAAGGCGATGAAGACTGTAGAACAATTGTAAGAAGGCGATGAAGGATGTAGAACAATGGACAATGGTAAGAAGGCGATGAAGGCTTTAAAACAATGTAAGAAGTTCCACTGTAGAACAGTGGAAAACATGCGATGTAAACTGTAAAACTATAGTAAGAAGGCGATAAAGGATGTAGAACAATGGAAAACATGCGATGAAGACTGTAGAACTATGGTAAGAAGGCGATGAAGGCTGTAGAACAATTGTAAGAAGTCTTTGAAGGATGTAGAACTATGGTAAGAAGGCTATGAAGGCTGTAGAACTATGGTAAGAAGGCGATGAAGACTGTAGAACAATTGTAAGAAGGCGATGAAGGATGTAGAACAATGGTAAGAAGGCGATGAAGGCTTTAAAACAATGCAAGAAGGCGATGAAGGCTGTAGAACAATGGTAAGAAGGCGATGAAGGCTGTAGAACAATGGTAAGAAGGCGATGAAGGATGTAGAACTATAGTAAGAAGGCGATGAAGGATGTAGAACTATAGTAAGAAGGCGATGAAGGATGTAGAACAATGGTAAGAAGGCGATGAAGGATGTAGAACTATAGTAAGAAGGCGATGAAGGATGTAGAACATTGGAAAACATGCTATGAAGACTGTAAAACTATGGTAAGAAGGCGATGAAGGCTGTAGAACTATGGTAAGAAGGCGATGAAGGATGTAGAACTATAGTAAGAAGGCGATGAAGGATGTAGAATAATGGAAAACATGCTATGAAGACTGTAGAACTATTGTAAGAAGGCGATGAAGGCTGTAGAACTATGGTAAGAAGGCGATGAAGGATGTAGAACTATAGTAAGAAGGCGATGAAGGATGTAGAACATTGAAAACATGCTATGAAGACTGTAGAACTATGGTAAGAAGGCGATGAAGGCTGTAGAACAATGGTAAGAAGGCGATGGAGGATGTAGAACTATGGTAAGAAGGCGATGAAGGCTGTAGAACTATGGTAAGAAGGCGATGAAGGCTGTAGAACTATGGTAAGAATGCGATGAAGGATGTAGAAAAATGAAAAACGCGCGAAGAAGACTGTAGAACTATAGTAAGAAGGCGATGAAGGATGTAGAACAATGGAAAACATGCGATGAAGACTGTAGAACTATGGTAAGAAGACGATGAAGGATCAAGAACAATGGAAAACATGCTATGAAGGCTGTAGAACTATGGTAAGAAAGCGATGAAGGCTGTAGAACTATGGTAAGAAGGCAATGAAGGATGTAGAACTATGGTAAGAAGGCGATAGGTATGTAGAACAATGGTAAGAAGGCGATGAAGGCTGAAGAACTATGGTAAGAAGGCGATGAAGTATTTACAACTATGGTAAGAAAACGACGAAGGCTGTAGAACAATAGAAAGAAGGCGAGGAAGGATGTAGAACTATAGTAAGAAGGCGATGAAGACTGTGGAACTATGGTAAGAAGGTCATGAAGGATCTATGACTATGAAAAGAAGGTGATGAAGTATTTACAACTATGGTTAGAAAACGACGAAGGCTGTAGAACAATAGAAAGAAGGCGAGGAAGGATGTAGAACTATAGTAAGAAGGCGATGAAGACTGTGGAACCATGGTAAGAAGGTGTTGAAGACTGTGGAACTATGGTAAGAAGGTGATGAAGGATCTATAACAATGAAGAGAAGGCGATGTAGTATGTATAAATATGGTAAGAAGGCGACGAAAGCTGTAAAACAATAGAAAGAAGGCGAGTATGGCTGTAAAACAATGGTAAAAATGCGATGAAGGATGTAAAACTATGGTAATAAGGCGATGAGTCTTTGAGAAGAGACCAGTGCGATAGAATGAAAGGCACCAGTGACATTAGTAAAGAGACCAGTGAGAGAGAATACAAGGCAACAGTGACATGAAAGCAGAGATCAGTGAGAGAGAATACAAGGCACTAGTGATATGAGAGAAGAGACCAGAGTGAGAGAATGAAAGACACAAGTGACATTTGAGAAAAGACCAGTGAGAGAATACAAGGCACCAGTGACATGAGAAGAGACCAGTGAGAGAGAATACAAGGCACCAGTGACAGAAGAGAAGAGACCAGTGACCGGAGAGACGAGACCAGTGAGAGAGAATACAAAGCACCTATGACAGGAGAGAAGAGACCAGTGATAGAGAATACAATGCACCAGTGACATGAGAGGAGACCAGTGACAGGAGAGAAGAGACCAGTGAGAGTATATACAAAGCACCTATGTCATGAGAGAGGAGACCAGTGAGAGAGAATACAAGGCACCAGTGACATGAGAAGAGACCAGTGAGAGAGAATACAAGGCACCAGTGACATGAGAGGAGACCAGTGACAGGAGAGAAGAGACCAGTGACAGGGAATACAAAGTACCTATGACAGTAGAGAAGAGACCAGTGATAGAAAATACAATGCACCAGTGACATGAGAGGAGACCAGTGACAGGAGAGAAGAGACCAGTGAGAGTATATACAAAGCACCTATGTCATGAGAGAGGAGACCAGTGAGAGGGAATACAAGGCACCAGTGACATGAGAGGAGACCAGTGACAGGAGAGAAGAGACCAGTGAAAGGGAATACAAAGTACCTATGACAGGAGAGAAGAGACCAGTGAGAGAGAATACAATGCACCAGTGACATGAGAGGAGACCAGTGACATGAGAGAGGAGACCAGTGACATGAGAGAGGAGACCAGTGATAGAGAATACAAGGCACCAGTGACATGAGAGAGGAGAGAATACAAGGCACCAGTGACATGAGAGAGGAGAGAATACAAGGCACCAGTGACATGAGAGAGGAGAGAATACAAGGCAACCAGCGGCAGGAGAGAAGAGACCAGTGACAGGAGAGAAGAGACCAGTGACAGGAGAGAGGAGACCAGTGACAGGAGAGAAGAGACCAGTGACAGGAGAGAGGAGACCAGTGACAGGAGAGAAGAGACCAGTGACAGGAGAGAAGAGACCAGTGACAGGAGAGAGGAGACCAGTGACAGGAGAGAAGAGACCAGTGACAGGAGAGAAGAGACCAGTGACAGGAGAGAGGAGACCAGTGACAGGAGAGAAGAGACCAGTGACAGGAGAGAAGAGACCAGTGACAGGAGAGAGGAGACCAGTGACAGGAGAGAAGAGACCAGTGACAGTAGAGAAGAGACCAGTGACAGTAGAGAGGAGACCAGTGACAGGAGAGAAGAGACCAGTGACAAGAGAGAAGAGTCCAGTGAGTGTGACATTAGCGTATGTCTACAGAGAGAGAGAGAGGAGACAGCCGGTGCGCCGACGACGGAGTGCCACGGGCCTACTGAGATACCACCAGCTGTGTTCACACCGCGGCGCCATGTGAACGCAGAGTGGTACTCGGCATGGACCACGCGGTCGACCACCTGAACCACACACACCACAGAGTCACATTTGGAGTCACAGGCAGTCAATATAATGTCACATATAATTTATAACAAAAAAAAATTAGGCCCACATACAAGGCACATGATAAATCACAACTGTTTTTTTTTTTTATTATCCCTAATACATGTGGTACAGAGGCCATGATAATCTTCTTCTTCTTTCTTATCTTCACACTGGGTGATGTATAATGCGTCTGCGTTTGTCATTAAGACTGGCAGCTCTACTCAGTGGCAGGCTGACTTAGTTCCAAAAGAAATGGCCGCCTCTGACATGAGGAACAGACGCCATGTGCAGTCGCTCCTAACATGGAGTACAAATGTATCCCTGGATTAGGAGCCCTTACAGGGTACTATCAGCCAGGTCAGTTGAATACAGGGTTTTTAGTGAGCTTGTTACTACTCTCCCTTCTCTTTTTTCATGATAATCACGGTGGGTAGAATTGGCGACTGCTTTTACTGTAAGTGCACCACATGTCTACACATGTGAAAAGTAGTTCGACTTTGCACTTACAAATGTGCCAGAGCCCCGTTTGGTTACTTGCACTCGCTGGTTGGGTTGGACTTTTACAAGAATTGAGGGCCATTGGAGCATTATTTTTATTTAGAAAAAAAGTGCCTAATGCGGGATTCGATCCCGGGTCGTAAAGGTCGAAAACCAAAGATTTAGACCACCACCGACCTCCACTGTTGCACACGTCACCAACTCAACATTCCTTTTGCGAATTCGGACGTCATCATGGTTTTTAGAGAAGGAAAAGACGATATTCAAACAACCTTGAACAGTAGAGAAGGTTAAATATTGAGAGAATACACAAGAGCAATTTCCGAATAAAGAGTAGGTTTGGAATTTGACATCTTCAGGGAATTCGGATTGTGCAATTTGAGCATCAATGGTCATAAAGACATGGGTTCTCTATGCTTATGACATTCATATTCCCAATTGAGTAATAAATGTATTAAAACACTACGAATATGTAAAGCAATAATCGCATAAGTATATCTAAACCAAATATATTTTAAAGGGGCATACAACAAGAGTAGGATAATCCTTTATATTCTTCTATAGATTCTAGTGATGGGTGGTAGACCGTGGAACTTCAGGAGGCATCTAATGGATCTCACTGAAGTTTGGATGCCAGTTTAAAATTTGTTTGAATTGTAATGGAGACAAGTGCGTTTGAAAACCAAAAAGTGTTTTTACAAATATCTTCGGTTGCCTTATTATAAATATTGTTAATTTTAGAATTTATACTAAATACAAACATATGTTTAAGGCAAATTTGACAAAGAATCTGCAAATCTACCTAGAAACTGATTATTCTGATCTGAACAATGAATCCGCATTTTTGGCAATTTCCCTTATTGGTGACTTTCCCAACCCAAGCTATACACATTTATTTCTCAAGTAAGAATATATTTCATAGCGCTTTTTCTACATGAACCCTCTTGAAAATTTGAATTATGTGTCAAGCACCCATCCTAGAACATAACTGTGTTTCACAATTTGCAAAATGTCAACTAACTATATCCATTTGTTTTCTTTCTACAACCACAAATGGGCAACCAAATAAAACTGTGAAACCTACAAATGAGGCTTTCAAACCTAAGAAAAGACCTTTCTAAAACTCATAAAAAGGATTCAAATACCTAAAAAAATATTATCAAGAATAAAAACAAAACCCCCTTTCTCCTAGAAAAAACACCTATAAAAACCATCACTCCAAGCAATATGCTCTCACACATAGCAAAGAGTTTTTGTATGTAAAATACATAACGTCAGATATATTTATAGAAAAGAATTATTAAGAATAAAGACGTTCACATCTAGGACAAAATCCCATTCTCCTAGGAATAAAATCTTACAAAAGACTATCATACCAAGTTATATCCCCTCACACATTGAAAAGGGTTCTTGTATGTAAAATATATAACGTTAGATATATTTCCAAGTTGACCATTCACACAATTTGTCTTATTTTACAGCAGTCATCAGCAAGACGGACGCCTGAGATCTACTTTCCCAACGTTACTACCAGCACTATGAGAACACCTCCTTCCCTTCCCCTTCATATTTATACAGCTTCCTTCACTCGGCTCTTTCCTACTTCATAATACTTAACATTGCAAAGATGGGAAATACAGACACCAATACTCCTATGTTATTAAAGTAAGTAAGAAGGATGAATCCGTAACCAATTTAACTATGCATATTATTTATTATTAATAGCAATTATACAAAAACAAATCTTGGTATATGTTTTACGTGAAAACAACCAAACATAATTATTATATACAAGTTCCTTTTTAAACACGAACTCATCTATAGCCATTGTTACTCTGTGTAATATTCCAACAAATACAACTATCGAACAGCATTTAAAATCGACATACATTCATTTCTGTTAATATTTTCCAATAGAATGGGTGTGTGTCTAATACCTTTGCGAGAGCTGACCTCAAAATAACACTGGAATTCCTCATATATCTATGAAAAATAGACATTTCGACCAGTTAGAGGTTTTTATTTTCTCAACGTTTCGACAAAAATCTTTTGTCTTCGTCAGGAGAAATAAATAAAAATAAAGCATTTCGCAAAGCGTTAAAGCCAGGCAACCTCTATCTTTAGGATAATCAAGACCTATTTTGGGCCCGAGGTGAAAATAAAAAACTCTAACTGGCCAAAGTGAAATATGAATGCCGGCCAGGCAACTTCTATCTTCAGGATCCTCATATCTGTTATTTTCCAATATGCTTATATTCGTAGTACTTCACTCACATAGAATTGTCGGTGAACTGCGCTAGAAACTCGAGGGTTGGGCAAATCGTTCTAGCTAGCAAGAAAACTGCAGCAGTGACTCACACTCAAGAGTTAGCAAGGTTTCCAACAAACTATAGAGATTCGCGCAATCCTTCTGTAAAAGGATTAAGTCAAGAGATACTAAGCCAATGTTACCCAAGAAGTATGTTTCTCGGGGCTGTAACCCGAATTGAAGTTTTTTTTTTAATCGATTTAATGCACAAAATTTATTCAACCACAGAAGGGTATGGAAATATGTTTTAATGAAAAACACGTGTGCGCAACTAAACATATCAGGCACTAACTAAAAACTGATTTCTATCAAATTATAAATCGACAGAAAATATTCAACTTTGAGAGGTGTGGAATAAGGTTATATCTCAATGGTCTAAGTTTATAGCAGCGCTTGGAAAAATCAAATTTTCCTGCAAATTCAATCGATATGTTTTAATGACAGTTATATGAAAGTATGGGGAGTGTGCTTACGAGGGATTCTGATATCAGGAGAGGACAAAAAGAAGATATAAAGGGAATTTTGAGAACAGAACATATACTATCCAAGTTAAAAGAGACACTTGTAAAATGCACAGATAGCACTTCTCTTACAATTCGCTTTACTAATGTTACTCATAGAAGATACAAAAGTGGGGCGTAGCCATCCTTGGTGAAATTGATGACGTAAAATTCTTGCAACAGCTTGTCAGCGGTGGGTTGTGTTTGGATTCATTCTCCAGCCTTGTGCTCTCAGGTTCCAGAGTAACTCTTTCAAAACTATAGGATTTCTTGTAAACAGACCTCTCGAGCCTTAGCGATCTCTGCCAGTAGAAGTGTTCTGGAGATGAAAACATCAATTCTATTATAGATAGAGATTAATAAGTGAAAAAGCATGCGCTGAGTCACTTAAATAAGTTTATTTTATATGGAAAAGCGCCATATTTCGGTATAAATATCAACTAAAGGTTGGATTTGTCTTTTTTTTCCATTTCCTATTTATTTTCTTATAAAATTTTGAAAATCCAACCACGTATGGGTTTGGTTCTCGTCAGGTGTAGGCTGCATTTCAACGAGCCACCCGAATGGTAAGGAGGCTTCCTGAAAATCAATTTTTGCCCGAATTTGCATGTTGATTATGCTAATACTCGCTATTACCAAATATGTCTGGCATATTTTTGTAGTGTCGTAAGGCAGGGAATAAAAGATTGAGGTTACAGAATCCCCCGCTATGTGTGGTAAGGAAACTGGAGTAGATCGGTGGTATAACCAGGATGGCATGAGAGATTTTCTCAACGTTGAAGCCAAATCTCGGAAGGAATCAGGCAAGACCAAGTGAAACAGTCAGATCTTGGAGAACCGCCAGGTTTCCACACAGAGAGGAGAAAGCAGATTCTGCGCACCTACCCCATCTACGAAACTAAACGGAAAACTGAAAATCAGAAATGGTGAAAAACTCCAATTTACATATTTCACTGCTCTGCTGGTTCAACACCTTTTTCACCGGAACAACACCTTAAAGATAACAAATTTCACAAACACATATTTTTATTAATACAAAGCCATAACGCGTCATCTATATATAAGGAATAAAGACATTAAGATGCGAATGCTTTTTTTCACAAATAAATCAAACTTCTACTCTCCTTTCTGCGATGAAAAACATATTTCTATCTGAAAAACTTCATTGATTCGGAGAATGTCTTTTCATTTATATTAACTGCGTTACATTTTCTTATCTTTTTATAACTATTTATTCATCTTTTCATGCACATTTTTATCGTACTTACGCAAATCCGGCTCGAAAATACCCATTTCTTGATTTTTTTAAGGAAGCCTCATTAACCGCCTTGGTGGGTGTTTGAGATACAGGCGTCACTCGGCTGGACGAGTCCCAACAGCCTGAAACGCGAATGTGGTTGGATTTTCATATTTATTAAGAAAATGCATTGAATAATATATTAGAATAGAGTTACTTAGTCTTCTATATATACCACAATAGTTCACGAATTTATTAAATTTAATTTGAAGTCTTGAGATATCATTCAACCAGCACGTATCATCCACCATGCAAGTATATATTTTCAAAAATTGTTTATAACACACAAGGAATGTAATATATTTTTCTCCCCTTAAAATATCATTGCAATATTTAAAATATGTAAATAATAATTTGTACATAAAAATAGTATATATCATCAATTTATTATCGTGATACTCCCTTTGAAGAACTGACAAGTCCGAAAACTTGAAAATAAAAAGTTGAAAAAGAAACTTAACCCTGGAAGCTTCATTTATTTTATAATAAGAGTTATAGTTTAATACAAATACCATTTATAAGATTCCACCCTTCAGTGTAACATATAAAAGCAGAATGATCAAATACAGTATTAGAGCTCCGTAGAAGCAGTCTGGTAGATTAAATTGGCAAAACCGTTGGGAGGGTTCACCACTGAGGAAACAAAAGCCCTCCCAATATTTTTTCATCGCAGTAAGGACAATAGAAGTTTTATTTATTTGTGAAAAGAAACATTCGCGTCTTAATGTCTTCATTCGTTATATAAAGTTATATTTATCGGTATTCATTCTGAGAGGATCAGGATGTTTTGTCTTTTTGTTCATATTCCCATCAAATGATTATCAGAATTTGAAATGAAGGCGATAAAAACGTGGTGATTTTCTTTTAATGATAAAAAACAAGCTTTCAGGCAAGAATGCCCTTCTTCAGGTTCATCAGAATTGTACGGTGAATTTGTAACAGGTGTGTAGAGATGAGCCCGTAATTTATAGAATAGCAGTTACACATCATTATTACAGATATCAGGGTTTAGTTCAGTTAATAAACAAGTTTCAGACATAATATGGTGGCTGAAACACTCGAAATAGCTCTAGAAAAACATACTTCTGAGGTTATTGGATTCGAAGTACAGTAGAACCTCCCTGTAAAGGACACCTAATTGCAGAGCCAAAGTGTCCTTTAGGGAGAGGTGTCCTCTTACCGGAGAGTTGCTAAATAATAAAAATGGTAATTTTTCAAGTGGAAACTGTCTTTTATAGAGAGGTGTCTGCTAAGGGGAGGTTCTATTGTAGTAAAAATTTGAAAAAAGTATATATACTAAAGTATTATATTTTCTGTATGTTGGTTTTAAGTGAGCGAATCCACAAAGAAGTGGCAGTCTGCTGCAATATGTTATTTTGAGTTCGATTATATAATAAAATAGAGCTTTAGTTAATCAACAAGTTTTAGACATAATATGGCGGTTGAAATGCTCTCGCAAACAGCTCTAAAGGAGCATACTGATGAGGTTATTGAATTCGTACTTGGATGTTACCAGCAGTTATTGTATATCGTAGAAGTTTCCTACAAGAGAAATCAGGCCTAGTGTGGTGTATTTACATATGTAGCTAAACGACTTCCAAAAAATAATAAGAAAAGAATTTAATCAATAAATTATTTAAAAAATATTCATTCAAAATGTTTTCTAAAATTTTGAACGTCTATTGTGCAAAGTTTTATATCTCCTCACGTATTTTTACCAAAATATTTTTCATACATGAACCCAATAAGTCATCACTAATACATGTTAGAAGAAAGGTGTTTTTTAATGAAAGTATAAATACGAAACTATTATAGACGCGTTTGATTCTTTTAAAAATTAAACAATATCTACTGCCCTTACTGCAATGGAAAAATTAATGGGAGGGCCTGGCTCATCAGCGGTGAACTCTCCCAGCGGTTTCGCCAGTTTAATCTACCATACAGCTTTTATATTGCATTTTTCGATGTTCCTATCATAGTGATACTGATGCTAGACTCTTGGAATGGATATTTTAGATTAACTAAAAGAAAGTTCGAAAATGCAATATAATAGCGATATGGTAGAGAAAACTGGCAAAATCGCTGGGAGGGTTCACCACTGATGATCCAGGCCCTCCCAATAATTTTTACATTGCAGTAAGGACAGTATAAATTGTTTTATTTTTAAAAGAATCATACGCGTCTATAATAGTTCAGAATTTTAATAACAGATGGCGCGGTAATGCATCATAATATAGACGTATAAATGGTACAGGGAGTCATGCTAATCATAGTAGGCTACTGTTTATTCTGTAAGTATCCCACATGTCTACACTTAAAAGATGTCTAGGAGACCTATTTGATGACTTGAAACACAAAGGAAATAACAGCTGAATTAAAAACCCCGTATTAGCTGTTTAGACCACCTATCTCATTCATGAAGGAAATAAAGATTAATAAAAATCAAGAATCCATTGACATTCTGCGTTGGTGAAACTCAACATTGTATTGCAAGCGAACATTCAATGTACAGCGAAAAGTAACGACTTGAAGAGACCGAGAAGAAATTTACTTATATAAGTACATAGTTTTTTTAATATGAATAGTTTTTATTGCAAGGATTATTGTTATTTATCCAGATGGAGGTTGGAGGACAAGAAAGAAACATTTGATATAGTGAGTAACAGCAGTCTTACCTCCATTGTCCTTGTCCACCGGTTAGCTCCGCCCGACCCTGCACTATACACTCCAGTCAAACACATAGCTTTGTTAGTTTTTTGATACAATGTCATATTGTGGGATAGCACAACCTAAAGTCTTTCTTGTTTGATATACCCCTTTTTTTCAAAATAAAAATTTAATTTAAGGTTGGGAAGCAGCTAGGCAGGATCCCACATGAGGGGCGAGTCGGCGGTTAAAAAACAATTAAGATGGATATATTATAGTGGTAATTATACCCATATAAGCCAACATGTTAAAAACCTTTTTACGGTTGCAAAAATACTACTCTTCCAGATATAAGCATGAAGTACACCGATTAATTGTTGGCTGCCTAGACCGAAGTCTTTAGGCAAAAGCATCCAGTACACCGATGGGCTGCCTAGACCGATGTCTGTAGGCAAGAACATGCAGTACAACGATGGGCTGCCTAGACCGAAGTCTGTAGGCAAGAACATGCAGTACCCCGATGAGCTGCCTAGACCGATAAATTGTTGGCTGCCTAGGCCGGAGTCTGTACGCCAGGACATGCAGTACACCGATGAATTGTTGGCTGCCTAGAACGAAGTCTGTAGGCAAGAACATGCACTACACCGATGGGCTGCCTAGACCGAAGTCTGTAGGCAAGAACATGCAGTACACCGATGAGCTGCCTAGACCGAAGTCTGAACGCCGGAACAAGCAGTACACCGATGGGCTGCCTAGACCGAAGTCTGTACTCCAGAACATGAAGTACATTGTAGGGAAGGAAGAGAGATAGATTGGATTAATACAATATGAAGTGAAAGGTTAGAAGCAGGAGGGAGATGTTCCCAATCGAAAGCAGCCGTCATTTTAAAGAACGTTTTGAGTAGGTGGTGCTATCATTTGGCGTTCTGCACAATCAGGTCCCGGGCAGGGAACCCGCCAGATTGACACCAAGTTGTTTCATTGGCCTCCATTCTTCAGCAAATACAACCCCACAGTCTTCTAGGTTCTTGTAAATGCAAAGTTGATCTATTTCGCTATTTATAAACATGTTGTTGTTGTTGTCGTGTCCAATGAAGAGCCTCAGATGTCCCCGTGCATCTCTATCACAGCAGTCACAATTTCCACTATCTTGGGTGTGTAATGCTGCTGCTTTTTGCTCTTCATTAGAAAATGGGTGCCGTTGCACGTTAGTCACCTTGGAAACGAACCAGAATTTGTTCGAATATTCCAAGGGTCTAGGGGGAACTGGTGTGGTCGGACTTCTCCCCCCCCTATTCAATGTTTATTGAAGGGTTGATAAGGAGATGACCGGGGTTGCACAGGTATGTGAGAAGTACATAAATAAGAGACAGTCACTAACCCTATTACACCAACATAACCTATACCATGTGTTAATCTCCACTTCCAAATACGAGACGTTTGAGTGCCTGCGCTCATATTGTAGTACAGTGGTTTATGGATGACGGAGTCCAGTCTACCAAGCAATCATTGAAGATCTGAAAATATTTCTGCCGCAAGAACTATGGGTAAAGCCTCTGATCACAAAAATTTTGAGCGCAACTGATTGATGTTTAAAAGAATGATAGTGCTATCTATTTACCTATAACAAGTGGATTTTGTTTCGACACGACTCAAAGTCCGCTTTGAGACACAGGATTGGCGCTGCGGCGGATGCCAAGCGCTATCTTGTTTCCAAATCCGGCTGATTAGCCAAAGATAAGATGGTGCGGGCGATAAGAAATCCGTTGCCGCCAGGAGGTGACAGCCAAATGGAATTAGCGCAGTGGACGCACGACCGTTACACACCATAAG